TTCTTTTTTCAGATTATCACTTTATCTTTTCCACCTTACCTTTCATTTGTACTCTTTTGATTATATTTCCAGTCTTCTTCTTCTATTACAAATTTTTTCCTAATCTTTTTGTTCTTTCTTTAGATTCTTTCTTACTTTTACAATTCCTTTTCAATCTCTCATTTTTTTACGTATCTCTTTCTCTTTCAAGTGTCTGTTCAGTCACTTTCTTCTACTATCTCCCTTTCCAGCCTTTCTCTTCTCTGTCTAGTTCCTTTCTTGCCTTTTCACTCTCTTTCTAGTCTTTTGCTACTCAGCCTTCTCTTTCTAGCATCTTTCTAGTTTCTTCTATTACTAGTTTCTTTCTGTTCTTTATTTAGTATCATTCTTGCCTTACTATGCCTTTTCATACTCTCTTTCCAATTTGTCACTTTTTTCGAATCTCTTTCTGTTTTTTCAGACTTTGTTTAGCTTCTTTCTTTTGTTACCACTCTCTTTCTAAACTTCTTCTTCTCTGCCCAGGTTCCGTTTTGACTTTCATGTCTCTGTTCAATCACCTTCTTCTACTATCAATCCCTTTCCAGTCTGCCTCTTCTCTATCTAGTTCCTTTCTTGCTTTTACACTCTTTCTAGTCTTTCGCTACTCAACCTTCTCTCTCTAGCTTCGTTCTAGTTTCTTTCTGTTCTTTATTTAGTATCATTCTTGCCTTATTATACCTTTTCATACACTCTTTCCAATCTGGCACTTTTTTGCGAATCGCTTTCTGTCTTTTCAGTCTTTGTTCAGCTTCTTTCTTTTGTTACCAGTTTCTTTCTAAATTTTTTCTTCTCTGCGCAGGTTCCTTTTTATCTTTCAAGTCTTTGTGTGGTTCCTTTACACTCGCTTTTTAATCTTCGCTTCTCAGCTTTACCGTTCCAGCTTAAATCCCTCTTACATTGATTATCCGGTATCTTTCTATTATTACAAATCTCTTTCTAATCTTTCTGTTCTTTATTTAGTATCTTTCTTCCCTTACAATGCGTTTTCTCACTTTCCTTCCAATCTCTCGTATTTTACCTTTCTCTTTTTCTTCTTTTCTGCTTAGTCTCATTTTTATCTTTTCAGTCTCTGTGTTTTTCCTTACACTCGCTTTTCAACTTTACCTTCCCAGCCTCAATCCCTCTTACTTATAGTCTTTTGATTGATTTTCCGGTATCTTTCTATTATTCCCAGCCTCTTTCTAATCTTTCTGTTCTTTATTTAGTATCTTTCTTGCCTTACAATGCGTTTTGTCACTCTCCTTCCAATCTCTCGTATTTTACCTTTCTCTTTCTAGTCTTTGTTCAGTGTCTTTCTTTTATCCAAATTTCTTCTTCTCTGCTTTTAGTCTTTCCAGTCTTTGTTCAGTCACCTCTTTCTACTATCAGTCTCTTTCCAGCAATCTTGCTTTCTTGCCTTTACATTCTTTTTTCAGATTATCACTTTATCTTTTCAACCTTACCTTTCATTTGTACTCTTTTGATTATATTTCCAGTCTTCTTCTTCTATTACAAATTTTTTCCTAATCTTTTTGTTCTTTCTTTAGATTCTTTCTTACTTTTACAATTCCTTTTCAATCTCTCATTTTTTTACGTATCTCTTTCTCTTTCAAGTGTCTGTTCAGTCACTTTCTTCTACTATCTCCCTTTCCAGCCTTTCTCTTCTCTGTCTAGTTCCTTTCTTGCCTTTTCACTCTCTTTCTAGTCTTTTGCTACTCAGCCTTCTCTTTCTAGCATCTTTCTAGTTTCTTCTATTACTAGTTTCTTTCTGTTCTTTATTTAGTATCATTCTTGCCTTACTATGCCTTTTCATACTCTCTTTCCAATTTGTCACTTTTTTGCGAATCTCTTTCTGTCTTTTCAGACTTTGTTTAGCTTCTTTCTTTTGTTACCACTGTCTTTCTAAACTTCTTCTTCTCTGCCCAGGTTTCGTTTTGACTTTCATGTCTCTGTTCAATCACCTTCTTCTACTATCAATGCCTTTCAAGTCTGCCTCTTCTCTGTCTAGTTCCTTTCTTGCTTTTACACTCTCTTTCTAGTCTTTCGCTACTCAGCCTTCTCTCTCTAGCTTTGTTCTAGTTTCTTTCTGTTCTTTATTTAGTATCATTCTTGCCTTATTATACATTTTCATACTCTCTTTCCAATTTGTCACTTTTTTGCGAATCTCTTTCTGTCTTTTCAGACTTTGTTTAGCTTCTTTCTTTTGTTACCAGTCTCTTTCTAAATTTTTCCTTCTCTGCCCAGGCTCCTTTTTATCTTTTCAGTTTTTGTGTGGTTCCTTTACACTCGCTTTTTAATCTTCGCTTCTCAGCTTTACCGTTCCAGCTTAAATCCCTCTTACATTGATTATCCGGTATCTTTCTATTATTACAAATCTTTTTCTAATCTTTCTGTTCTTTATTTAGTATCTTTCTTGCCTTACAATGCGTTTTCTCACTCTCCTTCCAATCTCTCGTATTTTACCTTTCTCTAGTCTTTGTGCAGTGTCTTTCTTTTATCCAAATTTCTTCTTCTCTGTCCACTCTGCTTTTAGTCTTTCCAGTCTTTCGTCAGTCACCTTTTTCTACTATCAGTCTCTTTCCAGCAATCTTGCTTTCTTGTCTTTACACTCTTTTTTCAGATTATCACTTATCAGCTTTATCTTTTCAATCTTACCATTTGTACTCTTTTCATTGTATTTCCAGTCTTCTTCTTCTATTACAATTTTTTTCCTAATCTTTTTGTTCTTTCTTTAGATTCTTTCTTGCTTTTACAATTCCTTTTCACAATCCCTTTTCAATCTCTCATTTTTTTACGCATCTCTTTCTCTTGCAAGTGTCTGTTCAGTCACTTTCTTCTACTATCAATCCCTTTCCAGCCTTTCTCTTCTCTAATTCCTTTCTTGCCTTTTCACTCTCTTTCCAGTCTTTTGCTACTCAGCCTTCTCTTTCTAGCATCTTTCTAGTTTCTTCTATTACTAGTTTCTTTCTGTTCTTTATTTAGTATCATTCTTGCCTTACTATGCCTTTTCATACTCTCTTTCCAATTTGTCACTTTTTTGCGAATCTCTTTCTGTCTTTTCAGACATTTTTTTTATCTATCTCTTTCAAGTCTCTGTTCACTTTCTTCTACTATTCCCTTTCCAACCTTTCTTTTCTCTAAGATTTGATTTAATTTTGATTTAAAAATCAACTAACTATACTTTTGTACTTGTTTATTATAAAAATATTTCGCTTTACATGTTTTGACTAATAATCAGTCATCTTCAAAAGCGATGTCATAATAAAAGAAATGGTTCAACCATTATATTTTTGTAACTTTTCGTGTAACGTCGTTTAATTTTTAAACTTTATATTTTACATTTTTAACATGAGAGTTTCTTCTATTACTAGTTTCTTTCTGTTTTTTATTTAGTATCTTACTTTTACACTCTCTTTCCAGTCTTTTGCTACTCCGCCTTATTGATTTTCTGGTCTCCTTCTATCACAAGTTTTTTTCTAAACTTTAATTCTTCAGTATTATTCTTGCTTCTACAGAGCCGCCTCTTCTCATTCCCTTTCCAATTCCCTTCTTTTTTGCATATCCCTTCCAGTCTTTATTCAGACTCTTTCTTTTATTACCAGTCTCTTTGCAATCTTCTTTTTCTTTCCTATTTTCTTGTTCACAGCTTATTTTTTTTCTTATCTTTTCGGATTCCTTTCGCCCTGTCCAACCTATTTCTTTTATTACTAATCTCCTTGCATCATTTATTTTTTCTGTGTATGGCTTTTTTTTTGGCTAGAAGGTGCATCATGTTCCGTGATTCAAACGGAATCTTGCTCTGTTCTCCTTATCTAGATGTTCCTTGTCTTACAAAATCATTATGTCTTGTATCACATGATTCGAAGTAAAATAAATATTTATTGCAAAGTTTTTGAAACCCCATTTCAGACATATTTTAGAGACGTTTTAATTTCATTAACATGTTGTAAAGCATTTTTTAACTGGTCTTTAAAGAAAATGAACTTTTATTTCCGTAGAATTTTTATTGGAGTAATAACGGCAGGCCCATCCACCGCTTTATCCATTATGGATGATATTCCTACTAAGGTTACCTTGATCGTCCTTTCTACACAAATCTTTTTTGGTCTGTTTCTAATTTCTAGTAAGCCTTACCTATCTCTTTCTAAACTATCACGGGGGTTAGCTATATTAGCTCGCATTTCTTTATGATCTGAAGTTAGCATATTTTAGGTAAATTTTTCTATTTATAACCATAGAAAAACTTGAACTGTAGAGATGAAGTGAAATCAATAACCCACAAGTCACGAATCTCCAATGCATAAAATATAATCCCCGTCTTTTTATTCTTCACTAAAATATACATGGAATGGCTTATAATTTTTTTAAATAAAGGTTATATCCTTTTTTACTTTAAAGTTTTTTCTTTTATTACTAAAATGTGAATTGTAAAAGAAGTAAAATTGGTATGTTGATGTGAAATCTCGAAATTTGAAACATAAATTAATTTCCGATTCCAATAAAACCTTTATTTACGAGATATACGCTTTTACAACGTTACAAGTTTTAGTCTAAAAATACTTTCTTTACGTCTTATATAAGACATAGAAATGCAAGGTCATGCTGAAATGAAGAAATTGCTTAGTATTTGTTTTTCTGCAAAATAAATTTTAAATAACAACACATGTTCATAATTTATCGTATTCTTCCCTTTGATTTCTAATTTTAACTCTTATTTTATTTTTTGTTAAACTAAAAACCGCGATAGTGATGTCATATGTATTATGTCATTAAATGAATAATAATTACGGAGGATTAGATGTATAACTTAGTTTAATGGTAGTTTTAATATCTTTAAATGGTATAAATTATTACCCATAATGATTGTAATGGTTGAAATTGAAAAATGTAAGACTATAAGAAATTTAAGAGTATAAGTTAGTTCGTAATAACAGTGCCATCAATTTACAACCGAAATGGACGAAATAAACCCTGTTTTTATGTCTCTTTTTTTGTTGTTTCAGGGGGTGATGGAACGTACCACTTTAAATTGTTGGTACCCAGCGTGGCGGCCGGGGCTATTATCGGTAAAGGAGGCGAGACTATTGCCCAACTACAAAAGGATACCACGGCCCGTGTTAAAATGTCCAAATCACATGATTTTTATCCAGGTAAAAACAATTTTATTTATTTTAAAAATAATAGTTTTAACAAATATATTTTTCATGTATTATATGTATTATGTATACATACATAAAATATGAATAATAATTGGTTGCGTTGATTCATATTAATTCAACGTACTCAAGGGTTCCTTTGCCTATCTAATTTTATCATCAATTAATACGTTTTATCTTATGCAACCTATTATTAACCTCTTTATTGTAAGTTAAAAAACCCAAATTTGCTATAAACCTCAATAGCGCAAGTAGCAACAACTAAGAGAATTTTTGTCTAAAGACGAATCATTCCATACTTAGGAATAGAGCTGCACTTACCTCTGCAAAACCTCAAGGTAACAACGAGATGGTCAGACATTATCTTGAGATATTATCCATGCATGAGTGATGATGAGTGTTTGCTAGGAAATGTGCATTAAAACCACCCGCTATTAGGGTTTCAATAAGTTTTAATTTACTTCAGCTCATTTCTACCAACTTCGTGATAAATTTATTCGATAGATAAATCCAGCACTTAGCCAATTAAGGCCCGTTACTACCAAACCAATGCTATGTGTCAGTTAAGCTATCTATAAGATACAATTTATCTCGTAGATAACAGGGTCGTGCGTACTACCACCTCCATTTATCTCATAGTTAAGAAATCCTTGAGATAACCAAAGAATCTAGGGATTTTTTGGTTTATTATGTTAAATTCGCAGCTCTATGTAGTCAAAAGACCTATTATTAGGTATTTTGACAATATTCTAACCTGTTCTAACCTTAAAATTAAAATTTGGAAATGGAGACTGAGAAAAGGCGACGAACCACCAATATCATCAAAGAAGAATGCGAACATTTTCTTGAATTTGTTATCAAACATAAAAACGTAATAGAAAACAAAAAAAGTGATGCAGTTACATGGCAAAGAAAGCAAAAAGTATGTATATCTCGTATTATTGTATGTTAAAATGTGATGGTAAACAATAATGGCACAACTAACATGATGAACGACTGAAGACGCCAATTGTACACTCACTCCTACAAAATCTGCTATGGATAGCAACATGTTACCTATTGCATAAAACGTAAGAGTCAGCAACAAACGGTTTGAAGGAGGTACAGCATTATTACTAAAATTTTGATGAATTTTACATTAAATAATAGCAATCAACAAATTACTTACGTCATGGATGGAGGTTTTCTTACATCTTCTATTTGATTCAAAAGGTGATGAAAACTTTTTTCGCAAGATGAAATTTCGTCATAAATTCAACATCTGAATGAATATTTAAATGATCAACTCTACTCCTTATTATCGAAAATGTCGAAAAAATTATACATGATGATTTTATCTAATGTTGATTATTAATAGCTTTTTATTTAAATTTATATTACTTTTCTTATTTTAACTGAAATAGTAAAACGCTCGAATTTTATACGTCAGTGTAAATTCTATTTGAGGTTAGGTATACGCAGTTCTCCCTTAGATAGCAACTTATCCGACACCCAATCCACGGGTTACAGATATTTCAAAAGTTATCCCTTGGATAGCGGTATCTATAAGATAAATACAGTGGTAGTAACCAATTTTTAAGTTATCCGATAGATAACGCTATCAGAGACTTTAACTATGAGCGGTAGTAGTGGGCCTAAGGTCCATTACTACCATCTTTTAGTTAAATTTATCTTATAGATAAACCCATCTACTAGCCAATCAGAGCGCGTGAAATAGCCGTAACCATAGTAATAATCCCTTAGATAGCTTAACCAGAAGATGGTAGTAACGAGCCTAAAGCATTTAAAATCGCTGTAACCATGGTAACTATCCCTTAGATAATTTATCTAGACTAATTGAAATCTGCTACACTAACTATATTTTAAAGATATTATGATATCAAAATTTTTGGTGTGTATTAATCAGTAATGTCCAACCGAAACCGATATTTATCACCGAAACATTTTTTAGGAGTAAATAAAAGACAAAATCCAAGGATTTTAATAATACTGTATTCATCTCAAAGTAAAAATGATATCTAATCTTAAAAATGCATATTTTTGTTCAACTAATCGATGCCACATTAGGTACGTACTATTCTACCATACTTCTATGTCTCGTAGTAAAGAGCGAGTGGGAGGTCTGCATTGACTTTAACAATCTGTCAGTTTTCTGGTCGCTTGTTCACTCCTACGAAAGTGACCAGTAAAGACATCATTAATAACCAGCTGCAAAGTGTGAGATACACAACCTATAAAATCAAATAGCGGTATAGACCTTGTACAACCCATATTTGCTGCATTATTTCTACTGAATAAAAAAAATTTTGTTGTTTATGTTTCATTCACCCACGACTCGAGTAAGCTTTTATGAAACGTAAACGCCGGTATGGTCCTCTTCCAGTACAGTAGCTCCCAATATAACTTTCAATCTTTGTGATTGCATCATGAAATGATTTGTCAAATTCAGTAGTGAGCACGTCTTTGATGGATTGTCCATATATCGGTCGTGTAACTTAACTATTTGCATTGTTTGATTAAATCCATTACTTCTGCCTTCATTTTATCAAATATTTGACACATTGGTGACATCCGGAAATTTTGTGCAGATTTAAAACTGTATTTACAATTGCCTTTTAGATTTGCTAAATTAAAACGGCTAAAAGCAGTACTCTTCAAAAAATCTCATTATAACAATAAATAAAAGAAATTAATCGATCGTAATTATTGATAATAATATTAAAAAAGATAGAGTACTGATTTATTTATTTCAATATAGTAATATCTCCAATTTATTGTTATAAACGTTTTATGGTTTCATTTATGTTATTTCCTTAAGAAACATAATTTTTATACTCTGATGAAGATCGAAAAAAACGATCGAAATATTAGTATGAAATAAAATAGTTTCTTTTTATAAAAAAGATCGTCTCACGAATAATTTTTTAATACTAAAAGCAGTACTTTCCACTACAGAGTATAGCAGCATGTTGTAAATAATAAAGTCCATAATGGCATTGTCGATTTTCTGACCAATTAAATGATCATTACAGTTCCTTCATCATGAGAGCTTCATTTTTCTTCTCATTCATCTGTGTTTCTACATCTGTCTTGTTTCAAAACTTGCCGATACTTTAAATTGTGACATTTAGACAAAAGTTGCTTCAATCCAAGCTTCAATCCATGTATAGTTTATTTTTTTTTTTAGTTCGTGACTTCCCAAAGAGTAAATAAATAATATAAATATATAAAGTTTATAATAAATATAAAGTTTTTGCAAAGTTTACATACGGCTTTTGATAAGTCTGCAGTTCAACAACTCTTTCTCAACTCGTTCTTCGTCTCTCTCTTTTTACAAAGTTTTTACACACGCTTCACACGCTAGCTACACGTACATAAACAACTTGTTTCATCTTGCTTGAAACAAGATGAATCTTCCGTAAACAAGCCAAATCAGATACGACAATAGACATCAGTCGAACCGAAACTCGTATTTTTGCGGAAACTGAATCTTCTGTCGGACACTATTAATCAGGTATGATGTTTGACAGTCAATTTTGATTGCAACGCCTCGGCCACAAACGACCTCGGTCCTCGGCTATTATATTTATTGAAAATGAAAGTGAGCTGACAACCTCAGAATACAATAGTGGCCGAGGTTGCACGCGGTCAAGGCATAATAAGTGTGACCTGCTACACTTTCACTACAATCATCATCAGCGGAATGACAACCCTCTTTATGTTGCTTCCTTCTATAGTTGATGATATTAATGTCTCTTTCTACCTGGTTTACATATCTAGTTTTGGGCCGTCCTCTAAACCTCTTTCCAGCCGCCGCCGCCCGTTTAGTAATTCACTCCAATTCTCTTCATATATCCTTATATCTATACTATATACAGAGTGGCCCGTTACTAATGGGACACAGAGCAACAGTGAATTCCTTACATTAAATTATTCAGTAATGGACCACCCTGTATATCCTTATCTAACGCAAGCGACCGTTTTTTTTTTTGAATGGCAAGTTTGAATTGACCATCCAAATATGTGTCGCAGGTATCGTAATATCTTTCATCATTCATTTTTTTCACATTCTATTTTTCTTGTCAAAGTGACAGATCTTAATTGGGGGCATCATTTTGTTTGCTAGAAAAATGCTTCTTTTGATGTCTTCTCCGGTGTTGTTACTCGAAGTGACCAGGTATACAAATTGCTCTACAGTTTTGATGTTATATTATCATCATCTGCAGCTTTAGCCTAAGACAAAATTTTAGACATGTCTCGTTAATGGGTTTAGGTGCACATATTTTGTTTTATTTGGGTTTAATTTTACTCCACTTTGTACGCTGCTTTCTTTAGTAGGTAGGAGGCTTCTATCATGTTTCTTGTTGACCTTGCAATTATGTCAACATTATCAGCAAAAGCGTCTTTATAATTGTGTCTCTCGTGTTGACGTCCACCTGTATAACCTTCTCGAATACCATATAAACGAAGCAAGCCGAGTATTATGCCAAGGTTGCATTCTTCAGGATTCACTTAAATATGCTTGTGACCAGTTCAAAAGTGTCTGCATCAACTTATGATGATGTTATTTGATCCGGTGCTTTATTATTTTTTAGTTTCATTGCTGCCACCATGTGTTGTTTGATGAGTTCGGCAAAGCCTCTCTGTTTCATTCTTCTTCTTCTGGTCGCCTTGCTCCGTTACAATTCTTCTCTTTATGTCCCTGCACTTTGTGATACTAAGTTTAAATCCTTTCCTATTCTTATTTAGATTCTGGTAGATTTTCCTCGGTCCGACTGTGTTCTTAATTTCTCTAATTCCCTGAATTCAGCGCTTATGATCTCACTCTTTGTCCCAACTGTGGCTATTTCTCCAGTTGAAGACTCCTCTACGTGTAAAAGTGGCCTCGTCGGTAAAAAGAATGTTTTTAATAAAATTGCTATTTTCATTTTTTCCATTTAATATCCACTGAGCAAAATTTAATCGTGAAGGATAATCTCTAGGCAATGAGTTTTGTACGGATGTAAAGTGGTAAGGCCGTAGATTTTCTTGTTTCAGTAATCGAAAAACGGTAGCTTACTCTAATCTGTGCTGATAAACGCCGAGTGCTTAGTTCAGGATTATCAGCGATTCGCACTAAAATGTCGTCCTCCTGATCAACAGTAAAATTTTTAGGTCGCCCACATCATTTTTGGGCTTAAATTGTTCAGCCTCTCCTAATCGGCTAAAAATGTTACTGAAAATTTTGCGATTAGGTTGAACTCTGTTTGGATACATGTGTTGATATCTTCGAGCAGCAGCAAGGCAGGAATAATTTTCTTGTGCATAAACACAAAGCATATCTCGCATTTCAAGATGACGTTATGACGTGGCATTTTCACTTAATCAACTTATTAAATTTGTCAACTATGAGAAACAAACAATGAAAATCAACAAATGTATAAACTGACACAACATCCTACTAGATCGAAACGATTAATTCAGACCAGAGCCAAATAAATACCTGAACTTATTTTTAATATGTCGTACCCACTTAATACCATGAACACATTATCATTTATCTAAATGATATGCAGAAATGATTAAAGTGGCATTTACTGATCGTGATATTGTAAATAAATGTAATAATCAGTTTATTTGTCATAAGTTGTTTTTTAAATTTTGTTCATTTGAATGTTGGCCTACCCGGATTTTTTTGCTATTTAAACTATTTTTAGTCACAAATCCTTCCGAATTTTCTCGTTTTTCTCGAAAACCAAGTATAACACAAAGTTTCTACAAGAGGACCTTATTTTTAGCATTTTAACTGGCCAGGTGATGCTAATTTCGTGCTTGTAAGTGGAAAAACAAAAAAGTTCTATTTTTGTTAACACAAGGGGATATTTTTTTCTAGTTGCTGATTTCGAAAAATTCCACCATAAGAAGCATGTAATAATACTAAATCGCCATGCCAAATTTTATTTTCATCGTACAAGTAGATTAGCTTAAAATTGGAAAAAACGATTTTTTTTCTGGAACTTTGAAGACGTTCATCTTGAAAACGGTGCGATTTTGAATAAGACTATTTTTGGTCAATGGTTTGGTTATTTGACACGTAGTATCTCCAGTTAAAATATTTGCCATTATTATGTATAAGTAACACAATAGGTATTATTAAACACACTGAAAACCTTGAGCAGAAAACAGAAACTTCCCGCTGACGTGAAGACAAAATACTGAAATAAATAATGGCACTTAATTAGCCTCCAACAACGTGCGCCTTCTAGTACCGCTAGAATTCTTCGAATATCGATCTGGAAAAATAGGAACCTGCAGTTTTGCAGAGACTTCCACCTTGGTGTATGAAGGTTGGGTGGAAAATTGAAAGCCAAAATGGGTTTTCTTTTACATTTAGATAGTAGTAGTTTTGCTACATAACAATTGGGTATACAGTGTGTGGCAAAATTATGGAATAAATTCAATAAAACGCTTATAAACACTATTTTGCAAAAACGGCGAAACAAGCCAATTTTGGTTTTTCAATACACTTCACGTCACTTCCAGATAGTCATTTGTTTTTAAGATAATTTTTTTTATTACGGAATATTAAAGTATTTTTTTTATTGATGACATTATAACTTAAAAACAAATGACTATCTGGAAATGAAGTGAAGTGTATTGAAAAACCAAAATTGGCTTGTTGAAAGTGTTTTATTGAATTTATTCCATAATTTTGCCGCACACTGTATAACATCCGGGTTCATTACTTTTAATCAATACTTTTCGTACTAAATACATTATATATATTATAACTTTAAATAATTCGCTTTGCGTCTGTGACATTTACATCCGCCCGTCCGTGACAACGATTTCATGACGCAAATATGAAATGAATGTCGGAACTCTTCTCTAACAATCGATGTCGTCGTACTTTCTTTTTTGGTTTACGTAATCGGACCGAAGCGAAACCCACCTAAACTTGATCCGCCATACACCATTAACGGATTATTTTAATGCACGTATACCTACGTAGAAATCGCCGCATCTCAAAATTTTCTATTCATTTTTATTTTGAGCGTGTTACGACCTCGACAAAGAAAACGCCAACATTCTGTAACGAATCGGTTTTAATATTTGCTCAATTGACGCGCTGCCAAATGCACTCGTGTAACGTTTCGTTTGCTTTAGAAAAGAATTAAAAGCGAACTGAATGTCGGCGGGTTTAGTAAATTTCGAAAGCGAGATTTGCCGCTATCTCTCAGCTAACGTTAACGTCGCGTAGCGTCTTTTGCATAACGTTGTTACTTCGATGTTGATAAGTGCCCTATTGCGTAACGTGGTAATAGGCGGGGAATTGCAAAAAAACGTTATCTTTTCAATGTCAACTGACAACGCGGGTTACTTATATCACCAAGCAATTTTATTTACATAAATTATAACTTTATAAATCATGTTAGTTGATATTCAAGGATTATTTTGTAGTACAAATAATTATCTTATATAACTTTTTTGCAACATACTTATTATGTATTATCAAAAGTTTATGTGGTTCATTATAATTTGATTTTGATTTCAAATAAATGTTAAAATTTAGTGTTGCTGTAAATTCTCAACGGTATGTAAATTTTTATTTACATAAAACTACAAGCTCAGTAATTGGCAAACTTCCAAAGTTTTTCCAAAAAATGACGCATAATTACCGTAACTTTCTCGACACTGCGTTTTGCAGATACAATTTTTTGATCGAGAATCACCTGTTAAAGTCAATTAAACTTGTGAAATACACGAGTGAATCGGTTATACGTTTCGTTTCGTCCTTGTTCGTTGTTAGCAGTCGACCTGAGTCACGATACATCACGCCCCTCACGACGCACATGAAAATGTTAATGAATGCGCGAGCTTTAAGTCACCGATATGTTGGGAAATTGTCAGAGTAACTGTGCAGGTTTATATTTTCGGATGAGCGGGGCCACCTTACGCAACAACACTTATACCATCTCCTACACTCATACCCAGAGAAACCGAACAACCAGAAAGTATAGTTTCATAAGCGATGAAAAAAGATGGAGAGAAGAAACGACCGCATAGCAGTTATTTGCGCAATTGTTTTCAAATATCAAGCGTTACCCAATTATTTTGAAATAAATGTTAAAAATTTTGTTAGTAGTACTAAATTATAATTAAAGAGTAATTAAATGTAATCAAAAATTAAAATTTTGTTTTTCTTTTTTTAGGAACAACAGAAAGAGTATGTCTCATAACAGGATCGGCAGAGGCAATCATGCAAGTCCTAGATTTCATAATGGACAAGATCAGGGAAAAACCAGACCTTAATAAACCAATAACCGATACCGACAATAAGATGCAAGATAGGGATAAACAGGTGAAAATTTTAGTGCCGAACTCAACGGCGGGTATGATAATAGGAAAAGCAGGAAATTACATCAAACTGATCAAAGAAAATAGTGGTTCGTACGTGCAGATCTCTCAGAAAGCCAAAGATGTTAGTCTTCAGGAGAGATGTATAACTGTGATAGGTTAGTAATTTTTAACTAAAAATAAGTGTATTTTATTATGAATTAACTTCCCCGACAACTGCACCGCGTTACGAGAGGGTTTATTTTTGGGCGATCCTAAAAATATCACAGAACCAAACACCTGCTGCATAACCGGCCGTAATAATAGCATCTAGCACTTACATTCATATTAAAAAAAATCTTGTTTCTCGCATAACTCATAAATAAATTTGATTGACAATTCCGTGAATGGTACTGTTTATGATCAAAAGGAGACGAGAGAACAGCACGATGTAAACACGTTCTATTTTCGTGTTTGGTACGATGATGCAGCCCGGAATTCGTTGCGTAACGAGACGACGTAAACATTATTTAAGTTTGACATATCTATAACGACGTTTAACGTTGGCCGATTTTCCTAAAATTAAATTGTTGATGTGTTCATTTAATTTCAACCTGCTTGAATGCATTTAGAATGCGTTTATTTCTGCCATCTAAGAAAAGGTTTGTTAATTGACCTTGGCAAAGTTATGGAGGAGAGAAACCTTGTATCGTTTTCTGTAAATATCTCGGTCAACATTTCTTTGTTGTTGGTTTTAATTTAAGATAATTAATCATTACTAATTAGTTTTGTGAAGGTGTAAATAGAGATGCGTTACGATAGAACGTATTATGTTTTTACAATGCAGCTTATTCGTAAATTAGCGGAAATTATTACAGCTAATCTTAAACACGCATCACTTATCTGAAGGAAATAATGTTAGTAATTGGAAAATTTCTGATTAAAAAATATTGTTATTGGCCTTGAATCTCAGCTGTTTTATATAGATTTAAATATTTAATTATTTATTTTATTCTTAGGTTAATTTGATTGATATATACAGTGATATAATAGTCTACATACACCTCAGAAAATGATATCTCAGCTCCTGAAATGTAATTTAATGAATTTTTTAAACGAAGGATATTAGAAGTCTATTATTTTAATACAAATTCGAAACAACAAAATACAAGTTGGACTTGTGCTACGAACTGAAGGCTACAGCAGTAGATTTGCGATTAAATCTACTGGTTAAGACCTCTCTTAAGACGGCTAAACCCGAATTATTCTAGTTCTAGGTTTTGTGTTAGTTCTAGTGATAGTGCTAGTGTAAAACTAGAACTAACACTAGATCTAGAACTAGAAACATTCTAGATACTTTCTAGGTATAGTGTTAGTTCTACATAAATAACAGTCTAGTTCTAGGTATAGTGTTAGTTCTACATAGATAACAGTGCTAGTGTAAAACTAGAATTAGAATCATTCGGGTTTAGCCGTCTTTACAGACGTGCGGCTAAACCCAAATGATTCTAGTTCTAGGTATAGTGTTAGTTCTACATAAATAACAGTGCTAGTGTAAAACTAGATTGATATAATTCTAGGTCTAGGTATATTCTTAGTTCTAGTAAAGACGGCTAAACCCGAATGATTCTAGGTCTAGTGTTAGTTCTAGTTTTACACTAGCACTGTTATCTATGTAGAAATAACACTACACTTAGAACTAGAATCATTTGGGTTTAGTCGCACGTCTGTAAAGACGGCTAAACCCGAATGCTAACAGTGCTACATAGATAACAGTGCCTGTTATCGGCTTCTAGGTCTAGTGTTAGTTCTAGTTTCACACTAGCACTATTATCTATGTAGAAATAACACTATACTTAGAACTAGAATCATTTGGGTTTAGCCGCACGTCTGTAAAGACGGCTAACCCCGAATGATTTTAGTTCTAGGTATAGTGTTAGTTCTAGTTTTATACTAGGACTGTTATCTATGTAGAACTAACACTAGACCAAGAACAAGAATCGTTTGGGTTTAGCCGCACGTCTTTAAAGACGGCTAAACCCGAATGATTCTAATTCTTGATCTAACACTAGACTAGTTCTACTTTTAGTTCAATAAAAATATACAACAATATAGCGCTGAATTACAATTAAAACTAGAACTAACACTAGACCTAGAACTAGAAAGTTTTGGGTTTAGTCGTGCGTCTTCTCATTATTCTAGTTCTAGGTCTTGTGTTAGTTCTAGTTTTACACTTGTAGTTCTATGTTTTAAGAGACGTACGACTAAACGGAATGTTTTTAGTTCTAGGTCTAGTGCTAGTGTTAGTCTAGTTTTATATGTTATTCAGCGCTAGATAGTTTTATATTTTTATTGAGCTATAACGCACACTAGACTTTTTTTAGGACTGTACTTTTTTGAGTTAAAGATATGATTATGTTTTGTGTTCCCCTTGATTAATAATAACTTTTACAGCTTTTAAGTAAAATATGGAAATAATATGGACTTCTTACATGTTTCGTTAAAAAATGTCATTGAATTACATTTTGTGAGCTGTATGTAGACTTTATTGTATTACTGTATTATCAACTCGTACAATGTCTTATATACAAGTCAGTTTTGATTATGTTTTAACACCTTAACATTCTTCGATCGACTCTAAATCGAAAATTTTAATGTTAAAATGTTTTTCTACTATGTTGCCAAATGTGTTTATCATGAAGATATGATAATGAAAAATGTTAAAAACTAACTTTAAAGCTAAAAAAAACTGATTTTCAAAATTTTTATCAACAAATATTGAATATTAATGATTATTTATATATATATGAAGCATGTTACAACCTTTTAAAATTTAGATTTTCTCTATAGAATCGAACGAAGAATGCCGCTACGTGTGCATTATCCGCCAATTTCTAAACACCCTGTATATAACATCGAGCAAAACCTGAATGCAAACTTTAGTACAAGAGATAATCCGAGAACAGTGTATTTGGCAGATTACCTACATTAAATTAAATAGCGAGCTGACTTGAAGTGGACATCTGAATCTTGGAAATTAATTAAAGCATTTAACTTAAAGCTCCAACAAGGTAAATTTAAATCTAATTAAATTGGAAGAATGGCGATAACACTATGCACAAGATCTCAATGAAAATAGATAACGAAACTTGGCGCAATCACCGATTAACTATTCCGTTCAGGGCCAATATACAGGGTGTTTCTGTAAGTCGTGGCATAATTTTAGCGTATTAACAAACCAATAAAAATGTTGCGACAACTTTTTGAGACATTTATAAATGAAGAAACAATACTGGAAATTTAGAATGAAGCTTAGATCCTACCGAATCATAAAAAAGGAATCAAAAATCTCTAGCAGAGTGTACGGTAAGACATAAATATATATAATTAACTGATTTAATTATATGTAATTTAATTAATAAATCAGTATGACCCACATGATACAGAACAACAATTGGGTTTCAAAGCCAGAATCTGTAGATAACATCTTTAGTGTACATACATCAAATAAATGAGAACAAGACACCAACTAATCGAGAAGGCCACCTACTGTTTGAAGACCTTACTAAAGTATACGACACTGTCCTAATAAGAAAACTGTATTATTAAGCTACTAGTAGCATCGATCAATAACACAACAATATGTGCAATTAAACAATTATATGAACAATCTTTCCAATGACTAAAGGCCTTAGACATACTTGCTGCTTCCACCAATATTCTTTAAAATTTTTTTCAACGATCTTTGCTGATGACCATTGTACAAGATAAAGGGGAGCTGAAATTTATGACAAGGTTTGATATCTGCGTCGAATATAATTATTTGGGAACAAAAATAAGAACGAATAGGAAAAAACTAAAGGAAATAGAAAGCTGCATAGAAAAACGGATAATATATTTAAATTTGATAATATGGTCCAAAAGCATCGATAAACATTATTACGGACAGTCGGGCCGCCCTAAAGGCAATTCAGGCCTATAGGTGTGAATCCGCACTGATCAAAGAATATAAAGGCGGGGAAGCTGGCTAAAGAGGCAGCGAGGCCACCCTTTATTGGACCCTAACCCGGCTGTGGAATACAAAAAAGCCACTTAAAACTGGTAATTAATACATGGAAGGACTCAAAGGTAGCGTTGCGCTGGAAACACCTTTAGGACACAGACAGGCGAAGAGTATGATAACTTTGTCGCAAAAGAAAACTAAAAAGGTTTTATGCCTTAGCAAAGGACACCTAAGGTTGCCTTCAACAGTGGACAAGCTGAGTTCTAATCTTGTCGATTTTGCAACGACGAGTCAGAGACCGCTAAATATATTCTATGTGAATGCGTAGCCAGAAGCCGCCTAAACACAAAATTTTCGGAAATGCTCGTCTGACACCTAGTGACATAAAGGAATAAGACTTTGGAGCAATACTAAAGCTCATCAAGGACCTAGATTTGCCCTAAACCTTTGGAGGGCTTAAATTACAATAGATCTTATAGGCCGCGATAACGAGAGGGACCGCAATAATAATAATTGTATGATCCAAAAGTATATTACCTGAAAAGAAATGTCGTATATATTTCGTAGTCTTTAAGACGATGCTTTGTTTTATATAGAAATAAAACTTGGCAATTAGCAAAGAACTTAGAACAAAGGGTCTAATCTTATCGAGAGTAGATAAGATAAGAAACGAAAGAATAAGGGAAATAAAGAAGGTGGGCAAAATCAATAAAAACGGCTAATTTGGTACGCATTGAGAGAATACTAGAAAAAAAAATTCCAAAGTTTTTATTTCAGACCAGATATCGACAGAAAGTAGGAAGCGAGCAAGGTCAAAGCTTGGATAAACGGAATTCCGTCGGAGAGAAATCTGCGAACAGGAAATTGGGAAGTTAAAAGAGGCTAGAAGCTGGAAATGGAATTACAATGAGATTATTATTAGAAGACAAGTTACCAAAGGTTGGGATACATCTCATATTTTCGACCATTATTCTCCAAAGGCGAAGTCTTGTAGAGCGGGGAAATCACAACCATCATCGTTTTGCTTTGACCGACATAGAAGATTATCAACAAGGTATATGTTATAAAAGTGTTAATTTTGCAGTTACTTGTAATAAGCCTTGTAAGGTTTAAAGTCATTTTGACAAAGCTGATTACAAAGGGAATCGATATCGATGATAGCAGAATGTTTCCATA